CCCAGAAAAAATAATATTTTTTAAAGGAAACAACAAGAGCTGTCGCGCTCCAATGTATGTAGCGATTCTTGCCGTGCAAATATTTGCGAGCAGGCGGATAGCAAGCGCGCCCGCTAGGATTACCGCGCGAATGAGAATTCTGTCCGACAGGGTGGGAAGAGGGGGGGGGGGGCTTTTGGACAAGAGTGAACAAACAGGACCCTCGGAACAAGTTGCGGATGATAGGCAAACGGGGAGAGATTGCAGTTGTGCCTGCAGCGGCGAGTTGCAAAAAAGAGGTCATTTATTGAAACATTTTTATTTTTGTTTCAAATTTTTGTGTTTTTTTGCTTGCACTCACCTTTTGGGAGGAAGCCGGCCTGGATGAGCCTGGCCTCCATGCAGAGGCGCGGCGCGAGCAGCAGCAGGGCGACGACGATGTGCAGGAAGGGCGCGGTGGGCCCGCCGTGCAGCCAGAGCACGCGCAGCGGGTGCGGCGCCAGGCCCTGGCAGTGGCTCGCGGCCACGAGCGCCACGGGCTCGCTGGAGCACGCCGCCAGCTCGTGGCCCAGCTTGACGCCGTCGTTGGCCAGGTTGCCGACGCGCAGCAGCGCCGAGGCCAGGAAGAAGGGCAGCAGCACGACAGCCGCCACCGTCAGCCCGCCCACGGCGTGCACCTCGGAGCGCGGCGGCGGCGCCAGCACGGGCCACGGCAGCGACACAAAGCCTGCCACAGGGAGGGCACATTCATATAAATTACAAAAAATACACTAATTTAAAAAAAATATACATTTTTGAAAAATCTTTAAGTTTTTTAAAAAGTTGATATTTTTGAAATTACGAATTTTTTTTTACAATTTGTGTTGCGCTTTTTGTTCCCTCCTCAAGAAAAGAATTCGCAAAGAGATATTTTTTTTCTTTTGGACGACGCGGTTTTGAGTAACAGCCCTAAAAGAGCTTATGACAGTGTAGAGAACGGGAATAAGAGGAATGTGACTTCGGCAGGCGCGCCTCCGCGAGCGGGTTCGGATTGCTCTGTAATATAACTCCACTTCTGCTTCAGGCTGAGCAATGTCCCCCCCACTAACTTTGTCCTGCCGATTGCCTCGCCAGCAGACGTCAAGACCCTTCTATCTCTTTCTATCTCTCTCCCTCGTTCTCTCCTTCCTCACTCGAAATCCCAATTGAGATTCCCCCCCAGCGCCTCCGGGTAAAAACTTTTTAATTCATAATCCTGAGCGTCGAGGAGGCCTGGAGAAGTGTCCGAGTAAGCGGCGGGGTTTGGAGCCTTGTGAGCATTTGAAAACACGCAGAGCAAAACTCCCCGGGGAAGTCCACTCTGCATGAATCTGACGCTTTGCGGCCCTTCCCCCCCCCCGCCCCCTCCCCAAATTTTCACATTACAAAGTGCATTACTAAACGCTGTGCCGTGTGTATGTACTCTATCCTCTAATCATTTATACCACACAATAGTCAGTATTTTTGCATTTGCATGAAAAGGAAAAAGGGGATGGGGTAGGGGTGAAATAGGTTGATGGGATTATGCGCTTCTGATAATAATTCGCACGGGTAAAAGCGGGTTAGCGTAAAGCCCTTGTTAAACTCATGTATTTAAAATGCTTGTTCATTGGCAGGGCGCTGCTCTGTTCGTGTTTCGATGGGGGTGGGGGGAACTGACAGACACTGCAGCGCACATGATAACTAAAAACAAAAAAAGGAAAAATAAACCGACGGCTGTCAGCCCGCTAGTCGGCTGCAGCTAGACACTCTCCCCCGCCCTTCCCCCCTGACCGTCACTCTCCGCACGGTGATGGGCACGCCGTGCACGCCGTGTTTAACATTCACATGTCATTGCATGCGCCCGCCTGCCCCACGCACCACCAGCCGAAACATGAGAAATGGATTTGCACGCTTTTAGTCGCTTTTAGTTGTACAGCATGGTTTGGTTGTAACGAACTCGTGTCTCCTGTCTCGATTGTATCGTTTTCGGTGCGCGCGACCCTTTTTCAGTCACTCCCTCAAAGAGAGATGCCTCCTTTTTGGGAAAAATCCATCTCATCAAATAAACTTGAAAAGATAACATTTTATTAAAGTTTTCCCCATTTTAAAACGACCATCTCAAATTGTAAGGGACCGTTTGGTTTAATTACTTTGCGGTTGGTGGAAGTTTTGCTGCACTAGAAACGCAAGTGTGGTCTTTCGACATGAAATACACGAAAAGGAAATTGATTAGCTATAAGTTGAACCAATAGCAATAACAGCTAAATACGGGAAACTATTATTTACTTCTATAGCTATGTAACATAAGAGTATTTGTTTAGCTACTTAGCTAAATTTTTAGCTAAATAGCATAGTTATCCAGATAAACTTTTAGCCACACAACTAAATTTTTAGCTACATAGCTAAATAACTTGCTTACCGAGGAAGCGCCTGGCGGCCTGCAGCGCCACGTAGGTCTGCAACGCGGTGGCGATGACGCCGTACCAGACGGACCAGAGGCTGTTGACATGCGTGCGCAGGCAGCGCCGGGCTCGCACCTTGGCGCCGCCGGGCATGCTGGGGCCTGGAGCGCCTGGAAGGCAAAAGAAACTGTTTTTATTAAGCCTGAAAGTACTTGACATTTTTTTCAGTAGAAAACAGTAAGGAAAAGCTTGATTCTGCTCGGCAAACACGTCCCCATGCCGTATCTCTCCACACGTGGTGGCAAAGTAGAACAAGACGCTGTCCTCTTAAATATATTTTTCAAAACATGCTGAATATTGGAAGAAAATTTGCAAGTTACTGGCTTCTGCTTGAAGAAAAATTAAAAGGATATGCCACATTCACATGCCTGTACTTAATTTTAAAAACCTGATCAACCTCATCATTAATTCCTAAGAGGTGGGAGCGACTGAAAATAAAAATTCTTTTGGTGTTTTATATTTATGCGATGATGCATGTTTGAACATTCACTGATATAACTTTCAAAATAAGTATTTTTGGATATTCGAAAGCGTTCGGCCTCTGTGACTCCTGCCGCGATCCCCTGCAGTTTAATGAATGTGACCCAAACGCCCTAAACGTAGCTTACTGCGTCAAATCCCCCTCCTAACGCTTCGGTCCGGGCGGTTTGAATAGCGCGCCAGGTGAGTGAGATGAGAAGACTGGTCCGGCGCGCGCTCCTAGCGGCTAGCAGGAGAACTACACTAGTCCCCCCCCCCCCACCTTCCCTAAAACCCTCTCTTCTCTCCCCGGCGCAGCCTGCGAATAATCGTTATTTTTTGTTTTGGCAGTCGTCATTTATCTTGCTTGTTTCTCGTAATTCAAACTTAATTTAAGTCCAAAGCACCCTCATTCGTCTGCAGGGCAATTCATGAGTCGTCGATACGATGCCTCGGCAAACGTCGTGAAAGTCAAACCAAGTTACTACCAGAACAAGGACGGCACAGGCGGGACACGAGTGCTGGTAAGGTTAGTTCAGGACATATCAACATCAACCAATGTCAACAAACAAGAAGTACTAGGTTGTTAACTATGAGACAGACATTCCAGTATGTTAATAGGTTAGGATTATGGTATCATGGGTAAAATAAAAATGTGGTTTTGAAATCACCTTCACAAATTGTGTTCTCCAATTCAATGTTAGTAACTGATGAAAAATGTTTGTTCTGAATGAGATGTGTGGGGAGCCGGGGAACAGCTGCCCTTGGTTGGGCTCTATCCGAAGATGACATTAAAGTGTTACAGCCTCTTGTACGGGGCAAGGAAGGCAACGGGAAGTAAGAGTGGCTTGGCTAAGTAGGAGTACGGTTAAAGAACATAGAAATCAAAATTATTCATGCATTGGAAGTGGCCATTCAAGAACTGAATATGACACGTAAATTTGACTTTCAATCCATTTACACATTATTTTTAGACCTTTAGTGCTTGATTCCAGGAGTACGGTCTGTTAGATTGACTTCAAATTTCTTGTAGAATTAGTTTGTCGTAAGAACCTCACCGTAAAATTCTACTTTTAAAATTGGAGGCCACTGTCCAAATAAAAA